ACGTGACCCTGGCCGGTACTCACCCGCTGCCCTCCCAGCACACCCAGCGAGAGCGCCCAGGCACCGGCCCAGCTGCCCCTCTGCCCACATATGGGTGCAGGAGTGACCAATGGAGTCCATGACGCTCTTCATGTAGTGTAGGCTGCAGCTGGGTCTTCTTGTGCTGGTCAAGCCGGTGACCTGAGCGCGTGCTGTGCTGGGGTGGGACCCGAACTGCAAGTGACACTGCCCATGCGGGCTTTGCATCTGACTGGGATCCGTCACCCCTGAGCTTCCCAGAGCTGAGGTCAAGGGGAAGTTCTCCTTTCTTGTGTGCAAGTGCCAGCCTCAGGCAGAGTCTCCTGCAGCTGCTCCTGTCTGTGCGGGTGTCACCCGGTAAAAGGGGAGGCGCTTCGCCAGGCCCAGGGAGAGCCCCTGGCCCAGCCCACTCCCCCCGGCCTTGGCAGGGCAGGAGCTGGGACTGCCACACTGTGCCCTTCCTCAGGCAGGAATTCGGAAGCTCTTGGCATGTGCCCAAGGAGTGGCCCTTATAGGACCTGCATCAGCTCTCTGCAGAGATCCCAGCAGGGCTTGCCCACAGCCAGCTGGCACCGTGAGACGCCCGGCACTGCTTGTCAGCGTGGGGTGCAGAGGGAGGCAGAAGGCCATGCTCTGCCACGTCTCTGGTGGGAGAGGGGCTGCAGGGACTCTGAGCCCAGCTCCCTGAGCTCCTGCTCTCGCTGTCCTGCTTTTGTAGATCCCACCCCTGGGGAAGCATTACTCTCAGCGCTGGGCCCAGGAGGATCTGCTGGAGGAGCAGAAGGATGGCGCCCGGGCAGCAGCTGCTGCTGACAAGAAGAAAGGCATCCTGGGACCGTTAACAGAGCTGGACACAAAAGGTGCCTCTGCTCCCCGCCCCCGGGCAGCACCACCATGGAGGGACTGGATGACATATTGGGGGGGAGGGGGGGGAGGGGCGTCCATGCCCAGCACTGGGGGGGGGGGGGGGGGGGGGGGTGGGTTGGGGCCGGGCGGGGGGGTGGGTGTGGGGGTGGGGGTAGGGGTGTGTGCCAGCCTCGCCCGTGTGGCTGGAGAGTCCCAGGCCCTGGTGCAGGGGGGTGGTGGACATGCCAGTCTTGCCCGGGGCAGCTGGCGAGTCCCAGAGCAGAGGCTGCTAGGCCCTGTTCTGCTGCAGCTGCCGCTCTGCTCACCGCTACCTTCTCACCTCCCTCCCAGATGTGGACGCCCTGCTGAAGAAGTCGGAGTCCCAGCAGGAGCAGCCTGAGGACGGCTGCCCTTTTGGGCCCTTGACGCAGCGCCTCCTGCAGGCACTTGTCGAGGTGAGTGAGGCTCCGGGGTGAGCCTGGCTGCCAGATCCCGTGGGGCGTGGGTCCCAGCAGCTTGGAACTCACCCTCCCTCTCCACCCCTTCTGCTAGGAGAACATCATCTCGCCCATCGAGGACTCCCCGATCCCAGAGCTGGCGGGCAAAGACTCGGGAGCTGACGGTGCCGGTACTTCTCCCCGCAGCCAGAACAAACCCTTCAGGTGAGCAGCCCCATGCGGCCAGCCAGGGGGGCTGGCAGCCTGCCCAGGAAATTCCTCCTCGGCTTCTGGAAGAGCCTGGTCTGAATGCGCTGAGGTGCCCCTCAGGCCTGGGGTGGATGCGCCGGGGTTGTAAGGGAAGAACTTACGAATGGCCAGACTGGGTCAGACCAAAGGTCCATCCAGCCCGGTATCCTGTCTTCCAACAGTGGCCAATGCCAGGTGCCCCAGAGGGAGTGAACCTAACAGGTAATAATCAAGTGATCTCTCTCCTGCCATCCATCTCCACCCTCTGACAAACAGAGGCTAGGGACACCATTCCTTACCCATCCTGGCTAATAGCCATTAATGGACTTAACCACCATGAATTTATCTAGTTCTCTTTTAAACTCTGTTATAGTCCTAGCCTTCACAACCTCCTCAGGCAAGGAGTTCCATAGGTTGACTGTGCGCTGTGTGAAGAAATACTTCCTTTTGTTTGTTTTAAACCTGCTGCCCATTAATTTCATTGGGTAACCCCTAGTTCTTGTGTTATGAGACGGAGTAAATAACACTCTCTTATTTCCTTTCTCCACACCAGTCATGATTTTATAGACCTCTATCATATCCCCCCTTAGTCGCCTCTTTTTCAAGCTGAACAGTCCCAGTCTTATTAATCTCTCCTCATACGGAAGCTGTTCCATACCCCTAATCATTTTTGTTGCGCTTTTCTAAACCTTTTCTAATTCCAATATAGCTTTTTTGAGATGGGGCGACCACATCTGCACACATTATTCAAGGTGTGTGCGAACCATGGATTTATATAGAGGCAATACAATATTTTCTGTGTTATCTATCCCTTAATTTTATTTATTTAGCGTTTGCATAGTTGTCTAGCCATTCCCAATATTCTGTTTGCTTTTTTGACTGCTGCTGCACATTGAGTGGATGTTTTCAGAGAACTATCCACAATGACTCCAAGATCTCTCTCTTGAGTGGTAACAGCTAATTTAGACCCCATCATTTTATATGGATAGTTGGGATTATGTTTTCCAATGTGCATTACTTTGCATTTATCAACATTGAATTTCATCTGCCATTTTGTTGCCCAGTCACCTAGTTTTCAGAGATCCTTTTGTAGCTCTTCGCAGTCTGCCTGGGACTTAACTATCTTGAGTAGTTTTGTATCATCTGCAAATGTTGCCACCTCACTGTTTGCCCCCTTTTCCAGATCATTTATGAATATGTTGAACAGCACTGGTCCCAGTACAGACCCCTGGGGGACACCACTATTTACCTCTCTCCATTCTGAAAACTGACCATTTATTCCTGCCTGTTGTTTCCTATCTTTTAACCAGCTACTGATCCATGAGAGAACTTTCCCTCTTCTCCCATGACCGCTTACTTTGCTTAAGAGCCTTTGGTGAGGGACCTGGTCAAAGGCTTTCTGAATATCTAAGTACACTGTATCCACTGGCTTCCCCCTTGTCCACATGCTCGCTGACCCCTCACAGAATTGTAGTAGAAGCAGAGAAAGAAACCCCTCTTCTCATGTCTAGAGGTGTTGAGGAATTGCTCAGGGAGCAGTTCAAGGGTTAGAGCGCCTGGTGTGCTCAGCACCTGAGCAGAACTCTCCTGGCCCCTCTGAGATCCAGCTCACTAGAGCCCAGGCTCTCCTGTGCCTAGCAGGCAGCACCAGAGCAAAGGGAGAGGAATGGGCTCGTGCTCTTGCGGAGTTGGACTCGGAAGCGGCCAGCCTGTGGGTGAGATCCGGGCAGGGAGCCGGGTTAGTTCTCACTGCCTCCTTTCTGGAGTGAGGGCCAGCCCTGCCTGCCCCTTGGCAGAGGGGAGCGGGAACAAGGGGAGGGCAGGAGCTGGCAGGCTGTGCTGCTGCAGTAGCCGGGGTGCTGGGCTGCCGGGGGCTCACAGCAGCTCTCTTCTCTTGCAGCGTCCCCCACACCAAGTCCCTGGAGGGGCGGCTCAAAGAGGAGCTGATTGCCCAAGGCCTGCTGGAGTCGGAGGACCGCCCCCCCGAGGACTCGGAGGACGAGGTCCTGGCGGAGCTGCGCAAGAGGCAGGCCGAGCTTAAGGCGCTCAGCGCTCACAACCGGGCCAAGAAGCAGGAGCTGCTCAGGTGGGTGTGGGGCCGGAGGTGCTGGCGGGGGGGCTAGGCTGCAGCTGATGGCTCTGCCTTTCTCCCCAGGCTGGCCAAGGACGAGTTGCACAGGCAGGTTCTGCGGCAGCGTGTGCGCATGGCTGACAATGAGGTCATGGATGCCTTCCGCAAGATCATGGCGGCACGCCAGAAGAAGCGCACACCCACCAAGAAGGAGAAGGACCAGGCCTGGAAGACCCTGAAGGAGCGTGAGAGCATTCTCAAGCTCCTGGATGGCTAATGGGGAAGTGCCACATCGCCCTGTCTCTCCGGACTGGCTGCCCAGCTGGGCTCCCTCTGCCTGCACTGACAGCTCCTCGCTGGGGACGGGGAGGCTCCAACCCTTGGTCTTAGAAGTGACTTCCCCGTCCCTGTCTCAGTGGGGCTGGGCACGGGCTCAGCTCTGCCTGGGGCCAGGCTGGAGGGGTTTGCCAGGCCCTGGGGAGACAGAGCCCCCATGCGTGTCTCTGCCTGCGGCTCTGCACCTGGTAGCACCTCCCTGAGCAGCTCTCTGTAGTCCCCCTTCTCCCTGGGGTGCCCAGCTTCTCTGCATCTCCCTTCCCTACTATGCTGTGCAAGGGGCGATCTCCCTTCCCAGCCACCAGTGGGAGCAGGTGATCTGCAGGGGTGGGTGCTGCGCAGGGCTGGGACAGGGCTCAGGGCCCTTCTCCTAGGCCCGTTCTTCAGATCCCTGCTGCAGCCAAGGGCAGGAGAGGGCTCCCTCACCCGTCTGCCTGTAGGCAGCACCCTTTCCTTTCTGGCCCATCTGGCCGTTGACCCAGAGCCCTTGTCTGGCTGCAGGAAAGAGCCACCCATCAGCCCCGGGACCGCACAAGCACAGCTGCCTGTCTGGAAGGGTCCCTGGTCCCTGGAGGGCAGTTCCTGCTGCCTCCCTCCTGGTCACACGGGCAAGGGCAGGGGCTGATCAGCCCTGCTAGCATAGCCCCAGCCTCCCAAGGGCCGAGCTCCCCTGCGCTGGGGAACACAGCCTGAAGCCAAGCAGGGAGGCGCTGCCTGGAGAAACCAGTGGGTTGGGTGCCCCCCGCAGTGCCCAATTGTGAGCAGCAGAGGGTGCTGTGACCCTGGGAACAGCCGCTCCTGCAGCCCGCTGGGCCCTGCTGTTATTCTTGGAAAGCCATGACATCAGCCATGCTGCAGCGGGGGGCTGGAGCAGCTGCAGCCCCCGGTCTCACTGCCTGGGGTGCCTCCGTGGGGTGGGGAGACACAGACCAGCTCAGTCCCCAGGTGCGGAGAGAGCTGCCAAAGCAGGGGGCTGTAGCTGTCCCCCTCCCCCTGGGCGGGGGGCTGGCCCTTGGGGAGCGGGGCTAGAAGGTTCCATGGCCGGAGGCTGTCCAGCCCCAAGAGGGAGCTGCCAAAGTGCAGAGGGAAGGTGAGGCCCAAAGGGCAGCCCCTCACTTTGCCTCAGGCCAGTGCAGCAGTGGGGCCAGGGCATGCCCCTGCTGTACCAGTCACGCCAGGGCAGATCTGGCGGTGCTGGGTGGGCAGGAAGGCAGTAGCAAATGGAGGGGCAGGGGCTGGATCTCTGCCTCTGCCCAGCAAGTGACTAGCCCCTGGCTGAAGCCTGGGTGGGGGTGGGCAGCAGGCCCCGCTCCCGGGACAGGCTCAGCCAGGCCACCTGCCCTGCAGCAGGGAGGGCCCCACTCCACCTGGGGGCCTCTGGGGCCTGCGCGCCCCCTGCAGTCCTGCGCTCAGCTGCAGAGGTGCCCTGTGTGAGGCTCGCCTCTCTTGGGGAGGCACAGGCCGTGCCTGGCTGGGAGAGCACCTTAGCCCTGGCTTGGGGAGCTCCTTCCGGCTGTAGGAATCCGTCTCCTGGGAGGGCAGGGACACCATGGCTAGGGCTGTGCTACTGGGCAGAACCCAGAGGGCTTGAGCTGGGGCCAGGCAGGGTCCTAGGCTCCCCTCTGCTTAGGGGGAGTGGCCTGCTTGCTGCTGAGATTTGAGGCTCGGGGGGTCTCAGCACTGAGGCTGGGCCGGGCCGGGCTGGGGGTGCCGCCTGCTGCTGCAGGGCCGAGCGGCGCTGCGCCTGACCCCTGGGTAGGGCTCTACCTGTGAATGACAGTGTTTTAGCTGATGGGGGAGGGGATTGAGGTGGCTGTGCACCCGTCCCATGTCAGTGCCCAGCACCACTGCCCGTGGGAGAGTGGGTGGGTGCTCTCTGCACAGGCCCTGCCAGGGAATGGGGGGCAGGAGAGCAGAGCCCCTCCAAACCTAGCTGCAGCCCATGGGGTGGGTGGGGAAGCTGCTACTTGCCTTGGAGGGGGGGGGGGGGGTTTGGAGTCCTGCCTGCACTGCGAGTGCTAACCCCAGCCCAGCACCAGGCCCCTTCTGCGCTTCCCGAATCCAGCTGTCTGCCCCTGGCCTCCCCCAGCCGAGGGGGCACAAGGATGGAACCCATCTGGTTCCAAGCAGAGAAACCTTTTTCTTTCCAGCGGTTTCTTCACTCACCTCCCTGTTTGCTGGGAGGCTGTGGGCCAGGCTGGGGCTGGTCCTTGGGCCCACTGGTCTGGGAGTGGCCAGAGGGCCCTTGCACCACTTTCTCTGAAAGCTTGAATGGTCGTATCAGGGCATGGGAGCGGGTGAGGCCTGCTCCAGCCCCCAGCCATGATGCCAGCAGCTCTGGGAGGCCCCTGTTAGTGGGCTAAAACCGGAGCAAACCCACCGGCAGACGCTAACGCAGGAAGGTTTCCATGTCCTTCTGGCTAGGGCGGGAAGTGGGCCAGCTGATGTGCTGGGACTGTACTGACTAGTTGAAGGGGAACCCCCCTGCAAAGCATTGGGGGGGGGGGGGCACTAGGCTGCTGGAACTCGGTGAACAGCTCAGTCATGGAGCGGGACTTCCAAAGGGCCTCAGCCAGGGCCAGAGCCAGAAACCCCGGCCTAGGATATCCAGCAGGGCAAAGGCCTGAGGCCATGAGCACCGTCCAGCTGTGGCTACATGGAGATGCCTGTGTGGCTCACGGCCTTTTCTACGCCTGCCTCTCTCCCCACACCCTCTTCCCAAGAGAACAATTGTAGAGTTGGAAAGTTCCTGGCCCATGGTTGGGTCCGAGGCTGGGTGTTTAGTGTATTTATTAGTGAGTGAGAAATGTGGCCACTGTGCAAATGACACCAAATTATTTAAATGAAGATGGTGAAGACTGAGAGGAGCCTGCGGGGATCTGACCCGGGGGGAGACCAGGTGCCCCACTGGCAGACGCCGTTCAGTGCTGACAGACAAATGGACATTGGAAGGAATAAGTCAACCTGCTCACTTGCTGAACAGGGCTCTACATGAACTGTAATGACCCAGGAAAAAGGCCTGGGGGTTCTTGTGCCGGGTCAATGGAAGCTCTGCTCCATGTGTAGCAGCGAACAAGCAAATAAAAAGTTGGGATGTACAAGGATGAAAAAGCCTCTTCTGGGATGCTGTGCTCAGTGCTAGTCCCCCCCCCCATCTCAGCCAGGACGTAGCAGGAATCCAGGGGCTCGGGCAGAGGCAGCGAGAATGATCTGGGGCTGGAAAGCCCCCGGGCAGAGAGACTGAAAAGCTTGGGCCTGTCTCCATTAGAGAAGTGACAAGAGGGGAGCTGATAAAGGTGGCCTGGGCAATGAATGGGCTAGAAAAGGCAGAGCGGGCACTGCTGTTCTCCCTCTGTCCTGGCAGGAGAACCGGGGGTGTTTCAGGACGTTGAAAGGTAGCGTGTTTAAAACAAGGAGGAAAGACCTTTTAGTCAACCCCCTGCTGTCCAGTGGCGGTGAGTTCCCTAGGCTGTAATTGGGGCCAGCAGGGGAGCATCTGGGAGTGCTAGAGAGAAGGGCCCATGCAGGCCGAGGAGCTAAGGGGAACCCCTCAGGGCAAGTTACTCAGTCGTAGGCTCCCTTTGGCGATGGGCCTGGGCCCGGGCCCAACTGGCTGGTCCTGTGCTGAGGGAGCTGGGGGCTGTGAAGTGCAAAGGGGCGAGCGGAGGCTCCATGGGGCAGGCATGAAGAAGGGGCCTGCAGAAGTGGAATGGGTTGGCAGAGGGGTGGGAGTACCTCAGAGGGTGAGGGGGTCCCATGGGGGGTAGTGGAGGGGTGTGGGGACCCCATGGGGTGGCCTGGAGCAGGGGCTGTGGGGGAACCATGTGGCAGCTCTGGAGAAGGGGGGGCTCTCATGGGGCAGGGGTGTGGGGGGATCCCACAGGGTGGCTCTAGAAAAGGGGATCCTGTGTGGGGCATTCTTGTGGGGTGCGTCTGGAGATGGCTGGGGGTCCTGTGGAGGGGGGTGGTGGTGTCCAGTGGGGTGTCTCTGGAGAAGGGGGGGTAGTGCCTCAGGGGGTCTGGAGAAGTCTGGGGTCCCCGCAGGGTGGCTCTGGAGAAGGGGGATACTGCACGGGGGTCCCGCGGGGCGGGGTCGCTGCCCTAGGGGCTGGAACTAGGGGTTCCGGGGGCTGCCGCACCCCTCGGTCCCCGGGCCCAGTGGGTCCGGCGGGGGGAGGGGGCGGGATCGGGCCCCCCCCCCGCCTGTGCATGGAGCCGCCCTGCCCCTCCCCCCAGCTAATTTTAGTTTACTCCCGTCGCCAGGCAGATCCCGGCCCCGGATTGGCCTCCCCGGAGCGAGCCCCGCCCCGCGGTGACGTCACTGGGGCTGGCGGTGCCGGCCGGGTGGGAGCTGCGGCCGCTCTCGGGCTCGGCTCGAGGCAGAGCGGGGCGCGCGGTAAGGGCCGGGCGGGGCCGTGTGGGGTCGTGTGCGCGCGTTTGTGTGTGCACTGTTTGGGTGTGTGCACTGTGGGGGGGGAGTGCACGCTTGTGTGTGTGTGTGCGTGCACGGGGGGGGAGTGTGCGCGTGTGCATTGTGTGTGTGGGGAGTTCACGTGTGTGTGTGTGTGTGTGCATTGTGTGTGTGCACAGTGTGTGGGGGGAGTGCGCACACGTGCGTGTGCACAGTGTGTGTGCGTGTGCAGTGTGTGTGTGCACAGGGTGTGGGGGGGGGGCCGCCAGGGGGGGGGGCACAGTGCGGGGGGGGAGTGCACTGTGTGTCTATGTGATTTGTGTGTGGGGGGAGTGTATGCGTGTGTGTGCACAGTGTGTGTGCACAGTGTGTGGGGGGAGTACGTGCGTGCACAGTGTGTGCGTGTGCACAGTGTGTGCGCACAGTGTGTGTGTGGGGTGCACATGTGTGTACATGTATGTGCACAGTGTGCACACGGTGTGTGTATGTGCAGGGTGTGCATATGTGTGCACAGTGTGTGTGCAGGTGTCTGTGTGTGCACAGTGTGTGCAGGGATCTCTGTATGTGTGTGCTTACATGCCTGTGTGTGCAGAGGTCTGTGTGCCCGGATCCATGTGTGCGTGTGCAGGGATGTGTGTGTGTGTGTGTGTGTGCATGGATCTGTGTGTGTGCGCATGTGTGGATGGAGAGCTCTGTGTTTGTGCACGTGATCTGTGTATGTGTGTGCATGCACACCCATGGGGGATCTGTGTTTTCGCGTGCATGGGAGAACTGTGCGCATGCCCCACTCCCCGTGTCTGGGTGTGTGCCGCTGCCTGCTGGGGTGGGTGCTCAGCTCTGCGTGTGCCCTGACTGTGCCCCTCTGCACCTTCCTGCTGGCTACGCGTGTTGTGCGACGCAGGGCCTGGCCTGGCAGGATCCAGGCGGCCGGGGGCCCCCATTGGCAGGCGTGGTTCTGTGGGGTGTGAGCTAATGGGCAGGGATGGTGCCTGGCCAGGGCCCTGGGGAATAGGCTGGACTGGGCCCCAGGGCGCGGGAAGGGGCAGGAGGGCCTTGTTGGCCAGGCTGCTGCGGGGGGATCTTTGCCAGAAGCTGGGAATGGGCGACAGGGGACGGATCACTTGACAATTCCCTGTTCGGTTCATTCCCTCTGGGGCACCTGGCATTGGCCACTGTCGGCAGACAGGACACTGGGCTAGATGGACCTTTGATCTGATCTGCACCTTTGCTCTGGGGCGCTCCCTAGAGCGTTTGCGGCGGTAGGGGGCGGGGCCGGGGGCAGGGCTGGTGGGGCCGGGGGCAGAGCCGGGGTGGCCAGGGGCAGGACTGGCAGGGCTGAGGACAGGGTGGAAGAGGGTGGGGGCAGGGCCCTGGCGACCCAGGGAGGCGGTAGGGTGAAGAGCCCCGTGTCCTGGCTGGCCATGGCCCCGATCTCTGCTGCTGCAGTCTCCTACCCCCCTCGCCCCTCCCACCAGTGAGAGGGGCAATTGGCCTGGGGCTGGGCACACACCACACCGGGGGTCCTGCACCACCAGGACTCCTGGGGGTTTCCAAGGGGCTGAGCTCCTGGGC